CAGCAGCAGCAGCAGCAGCAGCAGCAGCAGCAGCAGCAGCAGCAGCAGCAGCAGCCACCGCTTCGGTCATGCGCATCATCGACATCATCATCAGCGTCATCGACAACATCATCGGCATCAACATCAACAACGACATCGACTGCCACTGCTGTGTCGCATCAGGAGACCGAGGAGAGACAACACACGCCCACCAACGCCAACGTGCACGAACACACACGCAAACACGAACAGCAACAGCAGCAACATCAACACCAACGCGAAGCAGTGGCTGGTCAGGCGCCAACACACGATAGTGGTGGTGGTAACGGGGACCCATCGCCCGCTGCAGCGCCGTTGCCCGGGGCGGCAGCCAACACCACAACCACCAGCACGCATGGTGATGATGGCGGTGGTCATGGTGGTGATGATGGCGGTGGTGGTGGCAGAGCTGAGAGCCGGAGCAGCAGCTGCGACATGAGCGTATGCAGTGCTCAGGGCGACACAGAGGCCGCCCCTGCTGGTGGTGGCGGTGATAATGAGACGGCGCGCCAGCCTAAGCAACGACAAGAAGAAAGAGGAGCAGGGGAGCAACAACAACAACAACAACAACAACAACAACAACAACAACAACAACAACAACAACAACAACAACAACAACAACAACAACAACAACAACAACAACAACAACAACAACAACAACAACAGCGGGAGGAGGAAGAAGAGAGGCCTGATCTCGCCACCAAGCGTGCAAAGGTTGGCGTCACCAACCAAGACGGTGGTGGCGGCGACAAGCACGTCGGCACTCCCGCCCACGAGGAAGCAACACACAGCGCTCAGGCGCAGCAGCCACCATCATCACAGCAGCCACCATCATCACAGCCCTCGTCGCAGTCGTCTATGCTGTCTGAGCGGGTGCTGGTTGAGGCGGCGGAAATGGCATCGGCAACGGCATCCCCGCTGGCAACACTCGTCACCGAGCAGCACAACCGCCTGCGCTTGCTGCAGAGTGTACTGACAAACGCACAGCGCATTGTGAAGCAGGTGGAGAAGACGCCTGTGCACAGCAGTGGTGGTGACGACAATGATGGCGACAATCACAGCCATGACAGTGCTGGCAGTGATGCTGGCAGTGATGGTGGCGGCGGGGGCGGTGGTGATGATGATGATGATATTGATGATGACACGGATGTGCCAACACAAGGGGAGCCAAGCTTTGGCAACATGTCCGGTTCTGCCCTTGAGCTGCTGTCATCGTCACTTCTGCATCGCGGTTGCCGCCGCAACAGCATCAACCCCAACAACACCAGCAGCGGTGGCAATGGCGCAAGCAGCAGTGTTGGCGGCAGCCCTCCGAAACATTCCGCAGTGCACAACACCGCAACACCACGTGAGGCTGTTACAGAGGCACCCGAGGGTGACGTTGCGCATAATGCCACGACAACAGCGAGCGCAGTGGCGCTTGCGCCTGGCGATCCGAGCCCTAAGCGAAGCAAACAAGGAGATGCATCACCACGTGCCACAACCCCTGGAACAACAGCGACAGAAACAGAGGGAGCAGCCGCAGCAGAGGCAGCATCAACAACAACTGCCACCTCCACCATGTGCACCCCGCAACACCAGCAACGACACCACCACTATAACCACAGTTCGCAAGGGTCCGTACCAGGCACGGCGTCCACGCGCAACACGACGATGCGAACAACCATCACGACACCCTCGCTGTTTTCGCCCAATCTCAGCCAGGAAACACCCTCTGCATCACCGTCACCGCAGCCATCACAATTGCAACACATGAGCGCTGACGCCACGCCCACGAATGACCGCGTCCGTGCAAGGCGCGCACACACACGCACGCGGCGCAGTGATGATGATGATGATGAAGATGATGATGATGACGACGACGACGATGCTGATGGCGATGCTGATGATGACGACGACGACGATGCTGATGGCGATGCTGATGATGACGACGACGACGATGCTGATGGCGATGCTGATGATGATGATAACATTACCCCACACCTGACACGTGCAGACAAGCAGCAACAACAACAGCAGCAGCAACAACAGCAGCAACAGCGCCCTCGCGTGCTGCATCGGCGTCGGGGTCGACATGTGGAGGCGCTGCCGTTCCCGCGCGATTTCGACGACTCGCCAGCGAAACCAGCCGTGGCCGCACCAACCAAGGACAAGAAGGCGAACGGGGAGAGAGGGGAGGGAATGTGTAACCAGGACGATGGAGCCGGTGATAGTGGTGAAAAGACAGGTGACGTGAGCAACAACAACACCAGCGGCAGCAGCAGCGGCAGCAACAACAACAGCAACAGCAGTCACAACACTGGTCTCACCAACAAGTGTGACGATGCTGGTGAAGATGCGATGGATCAGCAGGAGAGGAAGGAACACAAGCAGCACCAGCACCAGCACAAGCAGCACCAGCATGGCGATGGTGAAGCGAAGGAAGGGCAGACAGCGAAGAGGCGCAGTGATGCCTTGCCAAACAGGACACCCGATGCTGCTGCCACCGCAGCGCACCTGCATTCATTGACGACCACAGCAGCGACAGCGGCAGTGACAAAGACACCAGAGGCAAGGGTGGTGCGCAACGAGACAACAGGCGGTCAAGCAACAGATCAGCCAGGCATTGACGCCGTCAGAAGCACACACGCAGCGCCACCAACGCCAACAGACAACGATAACGCGGTATCGCTGGCCTCGTCGCTGCGTGCGTTTCTGGAGTGCATCGAGTCGTCTTCATGCGTTGACAGCGGGCCGCCGGCGCTGCAGTGGCTCGGCGGCGCCGCCAACGCACGCGAGATTCGTCACCTCTTGCACACGGCGCTGGCACACGTTAAGCTTGCACTGGCAGTGGGGGCAACACAGCCCGGCAGCGATGGCGCCACGCACGCGATGATGGGTACACCTGAGGCCACGCCATGCACCACAGCGCGGTTACGGGTGGCTGGAGCACCAGCAACACATGCCGCATCAGCCATGTCTCCGCACCCACACGCAACACAGCGCACACCGCAACAGCAGCAAACGCCAGCAGCTGCAAATTCGCCCTTCCCCCCTCTCCATCCAACACCAAGCCTTCTCTCGCCACCGCGGCACATGCCACTGCCAAGCCCGCTCGGGTCCAACAGCAGCAGCAGCAGCAGTGCGGCTGTTCGTGGTGGGTGGCGCTCGCGTGCTTCGCATGGTCTGCCGGCACTGCTGTTTGATGACGACGACAACAACACCGCCGACAGTGCGCCGCAGCGCTCCGCTGGTCAGGCCACGCACCCACTCACGGACACACCCGCAGCCATCACCTCGTCCTCGGGTGTGCGTGCACAGCACAGCGCCGGGTTGTCTCCATTGGACGCCGCGTTGGCAGTGTGGGATGGCGCAGAGACACGCACACGCGCATACGGTGACAACACGCCTGGTGCCGGCGTGCTGATGGAGGTGAACATTGACAACGTCAGCCTTGATCTGGGTGTTTGCGGCGGCGGCGGCGGCAACAGCAGCGCACACACACGCGAAGCCGCTGCCGGCAGAGATGCGCGGGATTTTGGTGCGGACACGCTGTTTGCAGACGACGCTCGGATGATTACGGCGGAACTTGGCGAGAGCGATGCCGGTGGGCGAAGCAGTCGGCTGAGCATGGATCTCTCTATGTTCAACACGCAGCCGCTGGGCAGTGGTTTGAGCCGGGGGCCGTCGCCACCGCTGTTCCCCGTCAACGACAGCGACCTGGACCTGGCAGACTGGATGGCTCTTGCCATGCAAGAGCCGCCTGGGGAAGCAGACACCACTGTTGCCGCTGCTACTGCTGCACACAGTAAAGCGGGAGGAAGCACCGCAGCCACGAGCAACGGCAACAGCGACCAGGGCAGTGCCACTGCACAAGATGGCGATGGTGCCCGGGACAGCGACAACGACGACGGTAGCGCTGGTGATGCTGCCACTGATACTGACGATGATGATGGTGACGATGATGATGGTGACACTGGTGACGGGGCGGGTGTCTCAGAAGAGCGGAGGCGCTTGAAGATGAACGGAGGCAAGTTCCCCTCCTCACCGCCCGCCACCAAAGACAAGACGTCTCGCCGCTCACCGGTTCGGCGGAGTCGGCGGTCCAACAAAGGCCGTCGCTACTCCTTGTGGGTCGCTGGTGACGATGTTGTCGACCTCACACAGTCACCGGACAATGAGCCCACCACTACCTCAGTCACACCCGGCAGCAAGGGCAGCAAGGGCAGCAGCAGCAGTGGCCAGAAGAAGGCGAGAGGTGCTTCTGCTTCGACAGCAAGTTCATCTGCAAGGAAGGCCAGTCGCTCGGCGAGCAGGACGGCCGCAACCTCCGCGGACCACGGCCACGACAATGCTGCCGATGCTGATGATGACGTCGTTGTTGTTGTGGAGGAAAGCTCGAGCAGTACCAACAGCAGCAGCACCGCTAGTGGCCGCAGCAGCAGCAGCGGTAGCGGCAGTAGTGGCGGTGATCGTCATGTGCAGAAGACGAAACTCACCGGCAAGGCAGCGCTCGGCAAGCAGATGGCGATGGAGCGAGCGCGCGCGCATCCGCAGCGCCGCCGCTCAGGACGCCAGACAGATAAGGTGGTCGATGAAAAGGGCACGCCGCGTGGTGGAAAGCAAGGCAACGGCGGGGCTGGGAAACCGAGTGCAGCCAGCACGCCCAGCAAACAGCGCCAGTCCGGACAGAGCAAGCGACAGAGCAAGCGCCAGCGGCAGAGGCAGAGGCAGAGGCAGAAACAACGGCAAAGCCAGCAGCAGCGCGTGGAGTTGAGGCCATTGCACGAGCAGCGCGCGTTTGAGAATGAGTCAGACAACGATGACGCCAACGATTACGGCGCTGACGGCGGCGCACAGCAGGAGGAGGAGGAGGAGCCGCAGGACGGCTTTTTCGAGGTGCGTGCACATATGCATGCAGCTGGCTCTGTGTGTGTGTGTGTGTGTGTGTGTCTGTGTGTGTGTGTGTCTGTCTGTCTTGCTGGCTGGCTGTTTTTTGTCTGTGTCTGTGTCTGTCTGTCTGTCTGTCTGCCCGTGTCTGTATGTGTGTGTGTGTTGCTACTCGCCACATCTGGCGCTTACCTTGCTTTGCTTGTTTGGTTGTTTGTTTGTTTGTCATCTCAGGTTGAACGGATCTTGCGCTACGTCATTTTCGCTATGGATGACACAGACAAGCCGGGCCTTTTCTATGAAGTCAAGGTGTGTGTGTGTGTGTGTGTGTGTGTGTGTGTGTGTGTGTGTGTGTGTGTGTGTGTGTGTGTGTGTGTGTGTGTGTGTGTGGTGTGGTGTGGTGTGTGTGTGTGT